ACTAGATGGCTTCACGGGTGAATTCTACCAAACATTCAGAGAAGAATTACTATCAATTCTCCTTAAAATCTTTCAAAGGCAGAAGAGAGAACACTTCTGAACTCATTTTATGAGGCAGTATCACCTTGGTACCAAAGCCAGCAAAGACGTAACAAGAAAAAACTACACGGTGAATATCCCTGATGAACATAGCTGCAAAGATCATCAATAAAATACTAGTAAACCAAGTTTAGTAACACATTAAAAGGATTACACAGCTTGACCAAATGGGATTTATTCCTGGGTTGCAAGAATGGTTCGACATAGGCCAATCAATTGCTACGATATATCACATTAATAGAATATTATATAAAACCCATGATCATCTTAATAGATGCAGAAAAAATTTTACATCCCATTTATGATACAAACTCTCAAGAAAGGTTTGGGTGATATTGAAGGAACTTACCGCAAGAGAAATAAGACTCACATTGTAACTAATGGGGAAATTGAAAGCCTTCTCTCTAAGATCTGGTAGAATCTCTGTTCTATTCAACACAGTACTTCAAGTTCTAGAGAGAGCAATTAAACAGGAAATAGAAAAAGCCACCAGATTGGAGAGGAAGAAGCAAAGTGATCTCTGTTTGTTAATGATGTGATTGCAAATGTGGAAAACTGAAGATTCAACAACAGCAAAAGTTAAAACTAATAAATGAATTTATTAATAGTAAATTTGCAGAATATAGAAATCAGTGACATTTCTATACACAACCAATGAGCTATTTGAAAAGAAAAGACAACAGTTCCTTTACAAAAACATCAAAAGAATAAAATACTTAGGAATAAACTTAACCAAAGAGGTAAAAGACTTGTATGTTGAAAATTATAATACGTTGATGAAGGAAATTAAAGAAGACACAGATGGGAAGACATTGTGTTCATTGAGTGAAAGAATTAATATTTGTGAACTGGGTAGGAAAAAAAAATAATATTGGTAAAACGTCCATACTACCTAAAGTGATCACAGTGCAATCTCTATAAAAATCCCAATGGAATTCTTTTACAGATATAGGAAAAAACAATTCTAAAATTTGTACCACAAAAGAAAAGCCAAATCGATCTTGAGCAAGAAAAATAAAGCTGGATGCATCACATTTTATGATTTCAAAGTATATCACAAAGCTATAATAATCAAAACAGTGTGTCACTGGTATAAAAACAAACATATAGACTGGTAGAACAGAATAGAGAGCCCAGAAATAATAAGTCCACACCTTTACAATTGATTTTTGACATGCTAACAATATCCAGCTAGGAGAGGATAGTCGTCTTCACAAAGGTGCTGGGGAAATAGTACATTCACATGCAGATGAATGAAATTGGATAAACAAAAATCAAATCAAATTGGATTGAAGGCTTAAATATAAGACCTAAAAGTATAAAATTTCTAGAAGAAACAAGAAAAAAACTTTTTGACCTTGGTCTGGGAATTAATTTTCTTTTTCTTTTTTCTTTTTTTTTTTTTAATTAATGGGTAACAGGGATAAAAAGCTCAGATGGGTATTGAGTTTTTTAGATGACACCAAAAGCATAGGCAACAAAAGCAAAAATGGGCAAGTGGGATTGAAATTCAAAAGTGGGAATCAAATTCAAAAGCTACTGCACAGAAGTCAACAAAATGAAAAGGCAGCCTATTGAATGGGAGAAAATATTTGCAAACTATGTATCTGATACAGGGTTAGTATCCAAAATATGTGAGGAATTCAATAGCAAATCCTATTAAAAAGCGGGGGGGGGGGCTGATTGACATTACTCCTAAGAAGACGTACAAATGGCCAACAGGTACATGAAAAGGTGCTCACCATCGCTAACCATTAGGTAAATGCATTTGACTACCCCAGTGAAGTAACACCTCACACCTGTTAGAACGGCTGACATCAAACTACAAAAGATAGCAAGTGTTGGCAAGGATGTAGAGAAAGGAACCCTTGTACGTGGTGGGAATGTAAGTTGGTACAACTGTTGTGGAGGTTCTTCAAAAAGTTAAAAATAGAACTACCATGATCCAGCAGGTGTACTTGAGGGTATATATCCAGAGGAAACAGATCAGGATCTTATGAGGCAGCTGTACTTCCATGTTCATTGCAGCATTATTCACAATAGCCAAGACATGGAAACAACTTAAATGTCCAGTGATGGATGGATGCAGAAAATGTGTGTGTGTGCACATGTGGGCATATCATTCAGCCTTAAGAGGGAAATCCTGCCATTTGTGACAATGTGGATGGACCAGGGGGACATTATGCTAGGAGAGGTAAGCCAGATGCAGAAAGACAAATGCATGCTCTTCCTTACATATTAAATCTAAAATAGTTGAATTCACAGAAGCACAGAGGAGATTGGCAGTTCCCAGGGGTTCAAAGGTGGGGAAGGTGGGAGTTGCTGGTCAGTGTACAAAGTTTCAGTTATGCAGGATAAATGAGTTCTGAAGAGCTAATGTATAGCTTGTTGACAGTGTTGTTATGCTTGAAATTTGCTAGACGGTAGATCTTAAATATTGTCACTATTACTACCAAAAACAAAAACAAAAACAAAAAACTGTGAGGTGATGGATATATTAAAAGAACACAAAATATATAAAGTGCATATTTCAGTGTTTATAAATTTTTACTGGAACAGCCACATCTGTTTATGTATTGTCTGTAGCTGTTTTCACACCGCAGCAGCAAAGCACAGTAGTTGCAACAGAGACTGTATGTGGCCTCAAGGGCAAAGATAAATCCTTCTCGGTCCTTCACAGCGGAAGGTTGTGATGCCTGGTGTAGATGATACTTACAAATCTTATTTGGCTTCAGAAGAACAGAGTGATGGGAAAATTTTCAGACCTCTTGATGTCTTTGTCAGTTTGTAACATCCTGTTTGACAACTTTTTAAATGTTGCTTCATCCGCAGGCCAGCTGGCTCCTTTCCTTTTGGGACCCCAGTTACATGCGTGCTGTACCTTTCACTGTACCCCTATATCTCTAGTAGAAGATGCACCTAAAACCCCACTTCTCTTTTCTGGGTTTACTTCTCCTGGATCTTCAGCCCTAATTCTTCACCATTTTGTTAGCTCTCTGATTCCTTCTCACACATTAAAAAAATACTCGTCCAGCTTTTCTAATTGTTCTCCATTGGAAGTTTGGTCCAAAGTGCGTAGTCCTCTGTTAATGAAAGCAGAGCCTGTTTTCTAAACATTTAAATAAATATTCTCTCCATAGTGAGTTACTTTTGCATTTATGGTTAAAATGCTACTTACCTGGAAAGGTAAGATGAGAAATGTTTATTGTATATCTGTCAAATAGTCTTCTGTTGATAGCCACTTAATCATTCCAGAAAAATTAAGCAAATTTGAAACATTTGTTATTTTTAAATGAACATGTTTGACACACTTAAGTTTGGTAGCCCTTGAGGACTTTGCCAAGGTGACCAGCATAATGGCTCGTGGAATATTTTAATGGTTAATTTCATACGTCGCTATAGTAAAGACTAATTTAAACTATTGTGATCTGTAAATTCACGTTCATGGGCACGCACAGACTGTGATTCACTATCCTCTCATAAGAGCAAATGAACAAATGGGAAACAGCTCCCGACTCTGATCTGGAGAATGTCCCCTCTCCCTCCGCTCTGCCTCCGGGTGGCTGACAGACCTCATGAGAGTGCCATTGTCAGCTTATCTCTGAAGCTCGTGAGAGTGACATTGTCAGCTCATCTCTAAGCTCCTGAGAGTGACATTGTCAGCTCATCTCTGAAGCTCGTCTCCTTCCTTCCTTCTTTACAATAAACTGTACATTGAAATTCCAAAATGTAGGCTCGGCGCCTGTGGCTCAACCAGCTAAGGCACCAGCCATGTACACCTAAGGTGGTGGGTTCGAATCCCCAGCCCGGACCTGCCAAACAACAATGATGGCTGCAACCAAAAAATAGCCAGGTGTTGTGGCGGGCGCCTGTGGTCCCAGCTACTTGGGAGGCGGAGGCAGGAGACTCGCTTGAGCCCAGGAGTTGGAGGTTGCTGTGAGGCGTGATGCGACAGCACTCTACCCAGGGGGACAGCTTGAAGCTCTGTCTCCAAAAAAAAAGAAATTCCAAAATGTAAGTTCTTACATCGCAGGGGGTTAACTCAAGCACTCTCCAATTCAGTCTTAATCTCTTATAGGGATTATTCTATACAGCAGCATAAGTTTTTTAAAATATAAGTAAGAGATCATTTTCTTCCTTACAAAAGGTAAGGCTTCATGTTGTACTTAGGATAAAACCCACAGTTCTGACCCTAACGCTTCATTTGATTATTAGAATGTAAGCTTCCTGAAAGCCAGGGACCTTATCTTTTTCTCAGTTTGTAATCAGCAGCGCCAAGCACAGAGGTGTCATGAATAAATGCTATATGAATAAAATGTATTAAATACGTAGAGTTTTGTATTTGTGTTACTAAAAAATGACCTTATAAAACGGTGAACTCTGATTTCCCTTTCAGGTTGCTCTGTCCCAAACATCACTAGATATTTTATGAGTGTTTTTATTGGATGCTTTAGGCTTTTCTGCTGTCATTCCTGTAAATTTCAGCATTATTGATGTGTTAATATTTTGACTTGTCCTTCCTCTGTGTCTTTGCTATGACTAATATTAATAATGTGAATGTACAGTGACCAAATTACAAAAACCTAACAACCAAGTTGGCTTTTTTGACATGTGGATTGTCTGTTTTCCTTCATCACATGACAGTCCTTGCACAAACACTGATCTGAACTACTGAGCTCCACATGGCCGCCTCAGTGGTAAGAGGTGCTGAACGAAGTCCCGGGTCCTAAGGGCTAGTTCTCCACCTCTGGTCGGCTGCTGTCTGTGTTACTGCGTTCAGTACCTCCTCAGGCTGACTGACGGCAGCACACGTTGATTCAGTCACAGACACTTGGCAAAAGGTTTTTGAAAACAAACTCTGAATCCTTTGTGTCCATAATTGGAGTTGTTCCCTTTTTCAGGAAGCTCATAAAATGGTGAGAGAAGCGAATGTCAAGCAGGCGACAGCAGAAAAACAGCTGAAAGAAGCACAAGGAAAAGTAGGTTTTTGCTGCTTTCAATAGGATAAAATTTAAATAAATTTGTAATTATTGTTTTAAAAATACCTTAATGTCTATTGGATTTTGTTCTGATGTAAAAGTAGTACTTACTATAGATTTGGAAACCTTTGAAAAAAATAAAGAAGAAAATAATTGTATCTACTACACAGATATCATTAATATCCATTTATATTAGAACCAAATAATTAAAAGCCCATAAGTCACATGTTATCAAAGGGGTTATGTAAGGCACATTTAAACGTTATTTTCTTAATTCACTGAGAAAAGCTACCTAAATGCTATTGGATTTTACTGTTTTAGGAGTGCGCTACTTTAAGTAATCATAAGCTATTATATTTTAAAGATTTAAAATATTTACATAAATGTTAGACATTTTGATAATTTAAAAAAATTCATTTGACATTCTGAGTAGTAGCTGAATCCAAACTATATGGAAACATCAAAAACTTGATTTTTAGTTTTTCTTTATTACTCAACAGGAAATATAAGTTAAAACTTTCCCTATCTTTGTAAGTGTTTTGAGAGAATGGCTAACACTTAGTAGCATCTGTCACGAGACCAAGTGTATACGGGACAATACTGATTTCTTTTCTAGATTGACGTCCTTCAAGCTGAGGTAGCTGCGTTGAAGACCCTTGTATTGTCCAGCTCTCCAACGTCACCTATGCAAGAACCTCTGCCCGGCGGAAAGACACCTTTTAAAAAGGGACATACAAGAAACAAAAGTACAAGCAGTGCTATGGGTGCCAGTCACCAGGACCTCAGTGTGATGCAGCCCATCGTAAAAGACAGCAAAGAGGTAACTGGGCCAGGACTGTCCTTTCTGCCTCTGTCGAGACTTGTTCATTCTCATCGCTGAGGTGTCAGTTATTTTTGCCAGCAAATTTTTTAGTACAAAATAAATGAGATACTAAGATGGGGGACGCTTTGTCTAGAGCTGGCTGCTTTCAGGGATTCTTGAATTCCGTTCTCTACCTGGCTGATCTTGGAGTACCTGCTGGATACTTGGCAAGTTTCTTACTCTCAATATTTCATTAAGGGAACAGTCTGAGTTGTATAAAGGAGAGTGAGTGGCTTTAATTATCTGCCCAGTCAAAACGTGTTGCTAGAGTGGTCTTACAAAGTAAGAATCTAAGAAATGCTTTTTATTTAAATTCTGATGGAAGCAGACTTTTATATCTGCTCCTTTATAAAAGAGTCCTAGAGATCATTCAGATAATTAAGCAATAAAAAGTAGAAATAATGGTAACTTCATCATTTTCAAAGATACTAAGATTACTGAGACAACGTAAGTATTTTGAGCTGTTTAGAGTAAAAATAGTATAATTGTAAAATATTTTAAATTCTTGCACAGTATGAGGAAGTATTTCCAAGGGGAATGATCAGTAATTCACAGAATACCACTCTCCTGTTTCTTTTCTTTCTTTCTCTCTCTCTTTTTTTTTTGGACAAAAAGTCTATTGCTTTGGCTAGAGTGCAGTGGCATCATAGCTCACAGCAACCTCAAACTCCTGGGGGCCCAAGCAATCACCCTGCCTTCAGCCTCCTGAGTAGCTAGGACTGCAGACACATATCACCGGTCTTGGCTGATTTTTTTATTTTTAGTAGAGACGGGGTCTCACTCTTGCTCAGGCTGGTCTCAAACTCCTGACCTCAAGCAGTCCTCTTGCCTCAGCCTCCCAGAGTGCTGGGATTACAGACATGAACCATAGATTGGGGCCTCTTGCTTTTTCTTTTTGCAGTTTTTGGCTGGGCCTGGTTTTGAACCAACCACCTCCGGCATATGGGGCTGGCGCCCTCCTCCTTTGAGCCATTGTGTCGCCCGAGCCTCTTGCTTTTTCTTAAAAGGTGTATGATGCATTACTGAATTGAAGTTCACCATTGATCTTGAAGAAGATATGTGAATTTACTTAGTTAAATTTTTGCATGGAAGCCAGGGGTTTATTAAATTGAATAACTAACTTTATTACCTATGGTAATTGAATTGCATTTTGATTAGTTATTAACTAAAAAAATGCTAGTGAGAAGTTTCAGTACTTGATGAGTTCTGAATGTAACAAAATCTTAGATTCACATTGGTTTCTGTTAAATAATTAGGAAAATTGTTTTAGTTGTAACTTTAATTCTAATTTCTTTGAATTTAAATAGCATTTTAAATTGCTTATACAACATATATATACATATATATATATTTTTTTGAGAGTGTCTCATAATGTCCCTCAGTAGAGTGTTGCAGTGTCACAGCTCACAGCAACCTCTAACTTTTGGGCTTAAGCAATTCTCTTGCCTCAACCTCCCAAGTAGCTGGACTACAGGCGCCCCCCACAACGCCTGGCTATTTTTAGTTGCAGTTGTCATTGTTTTTTTTTTAGCTAGTCTGGGCCCGGTTCAAACCCACCAGCCTCAGTGCATGTGGCCGGCACCGTAACCACTGCTAGGGGTGCCGAGCACAACTTAATCTTTTTTTGTTGTTGCTTCTCAGTATGTGTAAATACATATTTTTTTTCCCTATTGCTTACACTAAAAACTTTAAATGTTTTTCTTATGGAACATTTAAAGGTTCATTTTTAGTTTTTGAAATCCCTTAAAATATGAATAGGGAGCATATGAACTTGAAAATAATAACCTTTTGTTTTCCAAGTATACTCTGATGTTTTGTGAAACGCTTGTCAAAAAGTCTTATTAGATAAAGGAAACACAAATTTGACCTGTGCAAGTCTTAGAAAAAGAACAATCTGAAGGAAATGGAAACATTTCCATGTTTTGTGGAGAAATCACTCAGCCATGACCTTAGCAACATGATATCTTGTATACATTTTTTTTTCTTCTTTTTTTGAGACAAGGTCTCACTGTGTCGTCCTTGGTAGGGTGACATGTTCTCATAGCTCACAGCAACCTCAAACTTGGGCTCAAGCGATCCTCTTGCCTCTACATTTTTAAAACATTGCATGCTTACACACAGACACCACTGTCAAGGCTTCAGGATCAAGCCACTTAGGTTTAAATTTGGACTTTGCAGCTTTCTTCCTGAGTAAAGTTGAGCAGGTTCCGCTGGGGATTATAACTGTCTTGCACATTTGTAAAGATTAAATGTTTATAAAGTGCTTGCCATGGGGCAGCGCCTGTGGCTCAAAAGGGTAGGGTGCTGGCCCCATATGCCAGAGGTGGTGGGTTCAAACCTAGCCCCAGCCAAAAAAAAAAAATAAATAAATAAAAAATAAAGTGTTTGCCATACATAGTTCTGGAATGAGTCAGCTGTTAATGTGTGGTTTAAATTACTGCTTTTAAATAAGACCTTTTCTTACAATACTATTTACCTGCTCTCGGATTTGTGTTCATTTTCTCAGTAAGCATTACAAAGAAAATGAATTTGAAAATATAAGTAGTGCTTATATGCTAATATTATTTATCCTTTTGCTTTTAGTTTTGGTTCAAGGAATTTATGAATTGGGATGGAAAAAAATACTCTGATTGAGATTGCCATTATACACCTTAAAACAAAGTGTGTAGGAGAGCTTGGATGTACTTGACCTTTGTTACTTCTGTTTTTTTTTTTTTTTTAACTTTTTTTAAGTCATATATACATAGGTCATGAATACATTTATGCCTTTGTGAGATGCAATATGTGGATTATTTGTACAAATCGGAGTGCTTACATCCTACTTCTTAACACAGCTTTCACCTCATTTACTCAGTCATAGTGTTGAGACATTTGTGTTCAATACTTGATAGATTTGATTGTACCCTTGCAATGTGTTCCATAGATGTGGTCCCACCATTAACCCTCCTGCTATCAAATCACCCCACTCCCTTCCCATTCTGCTCCCCTTCCCTCCTTCATCCTGAGCTATAGTTGTGATTCATCTCTCATATGAAAGTGTGTGTGATTATACATTGCTTTTATAGTAGTACTGAGTACATTGGATATTTTTTTTCCACTCCTGGGGTACTTTACTAAGAACAGTATGTTTCAGCTCCATCCATATAAACCCAAAAGAGGTAAAGTCTCCATCTTTTTTTAATGCTGCATAGTATTTCATGGTATACATATACCATAATTTATTAATCCATTCATGGGTCAATGGGCACTTGTGCTTCTTCTAAGACTTGGCAATTGTGAATTGAGCTGCAGTGAACAATGTGGTGTAAAGATCTCTGTTGCCAAGTGATTTTTGGTCTTTTGGATATAGACCTAGTAGAGGAATTGCAAGGTCGGATGGCAGGTCTACATTTGGATCCCTGAGTGTTCTCCAAACTTCTTTCCAAAAGGAACGTACTAGCTTGCATTCCCACCAGCAGCACAGAAGTGGTCCCTGTTCTCCACATCCATGCCAACATCTGTAGTTTTGGGATTTTGTGATGTGGGCTACTCTTACTGGAGTTAGGAGATATCTCAAAGTGGTTTTGGTTTGCATTTATTTCTCTGATAATTAAAGATGATGAGCATTTTTTTATCTATAGACCATGTGTCTGTCTTCTTTAGAGAAGCTTCTGTTCAGGTCTCTTACCCACAATGAAATGGGATCACTTGTTCTTTTCTTATTACTAAGTTTGAGTTCTCTGTGGATTCTGGTTATTAGACCTTTGTCAGAAATATAACCTGCCAAAATCCTCTTCCATTCTGAAGGTTGTCTACTTGCTTTACTTACTGTGCTCTTGGCTGTGCAGAAGCTTTTTAGTTTGATCACATCCCAGTAATGTATTTTTGATGTTGCTTCAATTGCCCAGGGGGTCCTCCTCATAAAGTATTCTCCCAGGCCAGTTTCTTCAAGTGTTTTCCCCTGCACTTTCTCCAAGTATTTTTATAGTTTCATGTCTTAAGTTTAAGTCCTTTAACCAGTGAGAGTCAATTTTTATTAGAGGAGAAAGGTGTGGGTCCAATTTCAGTCTTCTACAAGTTGCCAGCCAATTCACCCAGCACCATTTGTTAAATAGGGAATCTTTCCCCCAATTTATGTTTTTGATAAGGCTTATCAAAGATCAAATGACAGTAAGTGTCTGGGTTCATCTCTTGGTTTTCAGTTCTGTTCCATACGTCTACCTCTCTATTTTTGTGCCAGTACCATGCTGTTTTGATTACTATAGATTTATAGTATAGTCTGAAGTGTGATAGCGTGATACCTCCTGATTTGTTTTTGTTTCTGAGTAATGACTTGGCTATCCAAGGTTTTTTCTGTTTCCATATAAAATGAAGTACTAATTTTTCCAGATCTTTAAAGTATGACAGAGGTACTTTAATAGGGATTGCATTAAATCTGTAGATTGCTTTGGGAAGAATAGACATTTTAACAATGTTGATTCTAAAGAAAATTATAGACCAATATCTCTAATAAATATTGATGCAAAAATATTCAATAAGATCCTAGCAAACAGAATCCAGCAACACATCAAACAAATTATACATCATGACTAGGTAGGTTTCATCCCTGGGTCCCAAAGATGATTCAAAATAAGCAAATCTATAAATACAATACATCACATAAACAAATTAAAAAACAAAGACTGTATGATTCTCTCAATTGATGTGGAAAAAGCTTTTGATAATATCCAGCATTTTTTCTTGATAAGAACACTTAAGAAAATAAGTGTAGAAGGAACATTTCTTAAACTGATAGAGGCTATCTATAGCAAACCCACAGCCAATATCATATTGAATGGAGTAAAATTGAAATCATTTCCACTCATATCAGGAACCAGGCAAAGTTGCCCATTGTCTCCACTGCTTTTTAACATTGTAATGGAAGTCTTAGCCATCGCTATCAGGCATGAGAAGGCGATCAGGGGTATCCAAATAGGATCAGAGGAGATCAGACTGTCACTCTTCACAGATGATATGATTATATATCTGGAAAACTCCAGGGACTCAACTACAAAACTCCTAGAAGTGATCAAGAGATACAGCAATGTCTCAGGATACAAAATTAACACTCACAAATCTGTAGTCTTTATATATACCAACAATAGTCAAGGGGAAAAAAAATCAAGGACTCTATTCCTTTTACAGTAGTGCCAAAGAAGATGAAATATCTGGGAGTGTATCTAACAAAGGACAGAAAGATCTCTATGAGATCTCTAGGAAGAGAACTATCAAACTCTGAGAGAAGAAATAGCTGAAGATGTTAACAAATGGGAAAATATACCGTGCTCATGGCTGGGACCTTTGTTACATCTCTGTAGACACCTGAGTGAGCTGTGCTAGAGGAAAGCTGGAGCCGTAGGAGTGCACCAGGACGGGAGCAGCCTCGCGCTGTGGCTGTGGGAGGGAACACTGCTGTGGGTGGCAGGTGCAGGTGCAGCTGTGGATCCCAGTAAGTGGCGCTGCGCTGGGCTGAGGGAGCTGAGGGTCTGTAGGGCTGAATGCTTTTAGGAAAATGATTAGGGAGGAGTGAATGAACAGGCAGGTATGAGTGTGGATGATTATTAATATCTCTGATGGTAGTTGCTGGGTGCCTAAGATATTCCAGAATCACCTACATAAATGTTGTATTTTTTGTGATCGTTGATGCGGGAGGCCACGTGTGTACTTCTCTTTTAATCTCATTGCTTATACAATAAACCTTTTTTGTCAGTTCTTTTGGGACTGCCTTCAGGTAATAGCAGAACAATTTCTATCATTTTTTTTATCCGAAATTAGGTTTCATAATTCTGTCTGTCTCACTTTATTCAAACTCTTTATATTTTATTAATGTGCCTCCAAATTACTTTTTGATTGTTTTCAGAAAAGACTTGTCAGTTTTTATATCTAATCTGTTGTGCACCTGTGTCTTGAGCAGAGCTCCAGTGTTGTGAGGGAGCTGGGGGTCCAGGTCAGGGTAGTCACAGCGACAGTAGTCACAGTGGACATGGTGGTGGAGACACTGAAAGGGCCAGGCAGCCCTTTGGGGGTCATTTCTTTTAATAGAAAAATTGCTACCAGGTATTATAGCTAATCAAGTACAGTTTGATTTATTATTTTTAAATGAACTTTTTTTTCAGTAATATTTAAATTTGGTTTTGGTTTTATAAAGTCTTATGTTTGTACTTTTTAACAAGTTTTTTTGTGTTTTCTCTTGGTTTGTTTGCTAGGCTGATTTATCTCTGTATAATGAGTTCAGATCTTGGAAGGATGAGCCCACCATGGACCGAACATGTCCTTTCTTAGACAAAATCTATCAGGAAGATATCTTTCCATGTTTGACATTCTCAAAAAGTGAGGTAATTGTTTTTCATTTTAATATGAATGCATTACACTTGTTTATATGCTTTTTACTAAATCATGTATGTTTCAGTTTCTCTTGCCTAAATCATTCATTATAAAATGTCGTGTTTTGCCCTTTCTCTCTTCCATGTTAGGGTCACAGTAATTTCTTAGCGTTCAGTTATTGGACATCTTTCCTTATCTGAGCAGAAAACCATTTGCGTTAGCATGTGTATTGCTGGAGTGAAGAACATCTGTGGGGCACAGGGTTCATTTCTTGTTTCTCAGTCCAAGGTTCAGTGTAAGGGGAAGTTCTCTTCACATTCTGTTAAAGATGTTTGTTGGTTTTATCTGTATGTGATAAAAAAAATCATATTTAGTTTCTTTATCTTTAAAAGAGGAAAAATAATACCCTCTTGTCTATGCCATAGGGTTGTTAAGAGGATAAAATGAAGTAGATTAGTACATAAAAAAACTTTAAACAATTTTTAGGTGCTATATAAAGTCATCATATCACTGCACTCCAGCCTGGGTGAGAGGGAGACCCTATGTCTTAAAACAAAGAATTAAAGTCATAATTTTAATTTGGTACATGTGAAAAATTTGTCCACAGTTAATATTTAAGAAACTTTAATATTAAGAATCTTATGCTAAGTCTTTTAAGTCTTTTTTTTTTTTCTGAGAAGACAGAATCTCACTGTGTCACCCTTGGTAGAGTGCTGTGGCATCACAGCTCACAGCAACCTCCAACTCTTAGGCTTAAGCTATTCTCTTGCCTCAGCCTCCCTATAGGCACTCACCACAATGCCCATCTATTTTTTGGTTATAGTTGTCATTATTGTTTGGCAGGCCTAGGCAGGTTTCGAACCCACAGGCCTTGGTGTATATAGTTGGCACCCTAGCTGCTGAGTCACAGGCACTGAGCCAAGTCTTTTAAGTCTTTATGCTTTTGAGATGAGTGAGTGTTGTTTATTGTGAGTTTATACCTGGCTTCCGGCAGGCCATTCAGTAAGAGTGATCTTGCCAGACTGAAGAAGTTTGCCTATTTCATCTGTCGTTTATCAGTTACGATCTTCTTCATCTGGGCATATATTTGATAATACAGCTAATTCTTTTATAGACCCACTTTTGTGCACATAAATAAAAGTTCAGAAAATATATAGTTATAATTAGTATATATTGCTGTTGTAAATGACCAGTATTAAAAAACATTACATAAATTTATCAGAGTGAAGCATTAGGATATTCACTTTGAAGTGCCATTAACAGTGGGTTTTAATTGTGGGTAAGGAGTGAACAGGTGCTGGAATTAATGCCTTAATCCTCTTCCAGATAATGGGAAAAGTTATTTCCCTCTGACTGACTTGCCTTTCATAACAGTGTTTGAATTATGAAAGAAATCAAAACAAGATTACATGATTTCCTCCTTTTTAATTGGTCAATGCCATGCTAATGGAACTTGGGGCAAGAGTAACTTGTAAGATTAGCTCACTGGACAACATGTGGCCTTTAATTCTTTGTTTTCACAGTTGGCTTCAGCCGTCCTGGAGGCCGTGGAGAACAACACACTGAGCATCGAGCCAGTGGGGTTACAGCCTGTTCGGTTTGTGAAAGCTTCTGCTGTTGAATGTGGAGGACCAAAGTAGGTTTCACATCTGTGACTTTACTGAATCTTTGTAAGTTTATCTGTTACAGTTAGTTTTCCTAGCTTTAAGTCTCAGAGTGCTGTTCAGAGTTCATGTGGCCAAAAAACAAATCCTGAGAGGCTGTAGATGTAGGAGGTCAGGTGCAGTATCTGAGAGGAGCCTCTGGTTACAGATGTGCACGTGTGGTAGGGTCAGGTGCAGT